AATAAACCCGTGAAAGTGATAAATGAGATACAATGAATATATGAAGTTCATATATTTTGAACTGCGGTATTAGATACGTATGATGCACGATCCTCGCAGTAGATAGCGCTATTTATGCAATAGCGAAAATCAGACCTGAAAAAAATCAGGCCTGTACGGGACTCGAACCACTGACCTCTGCGATACTAGTGCAGCGCTCTACCAATTGAGCTAACAAGCCAACTGGGAGCAGGCTGTGAAGTTGATTCGTAATAAACCCGTGAAAGTGATAAATGGGATACAATGAATATATGAAGTTCATATATTTTGAACTGCGGTATTAGATACGTATGATGCACGATCCTCGCAGTAGATAGCGCTATTTATGCAATAGCGAAAATCAGACCTGAAAAAAATCAGGCCTGTACGGGACTCGAACCACTGACCTCTGCGATACTAGTGCAGCGCTCTACCAATTGAGCTAACAAGCCAACTGGGAGCAGGCCGTTAAGTTGATTCGTAATAAACCCGTGAAAGTGATAAATGAGATACAATGAATATATGAAGTTCATATATTTTGAACTGCGGTATTAGATACGTATGATGCACGATCCTCGCAGTAGATAGCGCTATTTATGCAATAGCGAAAATCAGACCTGAAAAAAATCAGGCCTGTACGGGACTCGAACCACTGACCTCTGCGATACTAGTGCAGCGCTGTACCAATTGAGCTAACAAGGCAACTGGGAGCAGGCCGTTAAGTTGATTCGTAGTAAACCCGTGAAAGTGATAAATGAGATACAAAAGACAAGTAAATTTGATTTTTTTCAGCTTTGCCGAAGATTTGCGATTTTGTTTGATTCTTGCACGGATCTGCTCTAATATGCTCTAGTTTGAAACCATTTCTGCTATAACGCATGATGTTTCTACTAGCTCTACACCTAGGGATATTCGCAAACTTTTTATTAATTCATCTGACGTCCATACATATAACAAGCGTTTCTCTTCCACAGAGAATTTTTATGTACAGAAATCTAGATTGCATGTGAAATTTAAGTCTTTCTTTGCGTTTGGTACGAGGTTATGGAACTGTCTAAACCCTGACTTGCGTAAGCTCGCGAAAAGAGCATTTAAAAGGAAAATTCATAAGTCGCTTTTGACTATACTTGGGGTTGAGGACTATTATGTTGACGCCCATTCACTAATATTGAAATTCGATATCACTGCTTATCGAATATTATAACTGTAGTACTTTGCTCACATCCATATATCACAATTCTCTCCTCTCTACTTTCCAGTCTCCTCTGCCTGTATTTGATTATTATGTCTTGTTTTGACTCACTAGTAATTTTATTGTATTTAATTTGTATGACAACTGTACGTATTTTTTAGCTTATAATGTAGTAAACTGATGCATGGCTTATGACCCCAATAATATTGTACTAATAAAATCTCTTTAGTTTATTGTAAAATCTCTTTAGTTTATTGTGGTAATGAAATCTCTTCAGCTTGCAATGTGTAGTATTTACTTATTTATTACTAATACCCGCCAAGACTAGCTAATGCTATATGGGGGTTGTGTAAATTTGCTTCTAATGTTCTATGAAATAATAATAAACAGTATCAAACAGTATCATATCATCATACCATAGAATGATTACGAATATGATGGGCGCTCATTATTCACCTGACATTTCAAGTGAAAAAAAAACAAAAAACAAAAACAGATCGGCAATTCAACTAATGTGCGTCAGATCCCCAGGAATTGATCATGATCAATTGATCAAACAACTTACAACTTTCCTTGTCCGATACAATTAAGCTTGGCGACATGCATGTTTTCTTCACACAGTATCTGCATGTATTCACCGCACGAACAACTTACTATATCATATGTTTTCCACATTGCATGGCACATCTATCAGGATACTGATTTGCCTTCCTAGCTAAACTTTTGGCGAGCCTCTTGCTTTCTTTAAGTTCAACATGCATGTCGAAGTCAGTGGAAGCCGACAGAGGCATTCCATCTGAAACACGCGTAATCATTGCGAACAGAGCCATTGTAAACAGCAAATGATATCTTTAAGCTACAGAATACCTAAATTTGTACAGCTGATTCGTTTCTACTGAGCTGAGAACCAACAGATCGCGATTTCTCAAGGAGAAGAAATTAATATTTGTTTGTCAGCCATGTTGGAATTAAACTTGATCCCGCGGTAGTGTCAGCGGCTATGCTAATTACTAGATGGGGGGTGAGGGAGGGGAACTGATGCTCACATTACATGGTTAAGATGAAATTTTAGGCCTCACGGAAAGGTACCCCACCCAGCAGAGAGGCATTCTGTCTGCGCATGCACATGATTTGAGTTTCGATGAGTTTAGCCGCTGGTGCGCGCCCTCACAAACTCCCGCTCGAAATTCCCGCCTTTCTTCGAAAACTGACACGAACTTGTGTGCAGTGGCGGTGCAAACAAAATTGTTTTTCGTTTTGCAAGTGTGTGCACTAATTTTTATCGTAAACGTGACAGAAAGTGTAAAAAGGTCGAAGCATGGGGGTATAATTTGCGGGAAAAAGTCTCAGAAAACTCCATTTCGTGGTGTACACAGGCAGTCAAACGCCGACTTGGAAGCTTGTTTTGGTTTCCTCGAGACAAAATCGGGAGACATTTGTGAAGCCTGCAGAAAGGCTCTCCAACAGTACAGAAGCAATGGGAAGACATTTCTCGCGTTAGTGTTTTCTCGCGTTTAATTTCTCTTATCTCACATACACTTGTGATGCTGAAATAAAGATCGAACGCTGCCCCGTGGAGCCAGAACTACAGAAGTGTTATATTTTCATTGATATTGCCAAACTTAATTTGTTAACAAGTGAACGAAAA